CTGATGACCTGCAAGAGATTAGCTATGTGGAAGAGCCCTGCAGTGCATGAAAACAGCATCAAAATATCACCAAACAGGAAAAATGTAGCTCAGAGTGTTTGCTTCTCAACTTCTCTGGTCATGGTTACCCTCCTCATTCAAAAGCATTTGGAAGGAAGTAACTGAAGACAGCTCTTTCATTGCTTCCTGGCATCACTAGGATTGCTTTAGTGCAATACTGAACAGAGCAGAGGCAATTTAGATGGTTTAAATTATAGTAAAATGTAAGTGGCAATTTTAGCATTTCTGTTAATGTCTAGAATTACTAGTTGTAGGAAAAGCTTCCACTGGGATCTGCTGTAGTCCCTTGCCCGTGCCCAGTGACAATGTGTTAAATTGAGATAATAAGATGACAATTTAGCCTTCAATATTTCTAGTAGATATGGTGAACTGGAGCTTTTGTAAGAGCAGGTGACTGCTATGAGTGAAAACCAGATGCTTGCACAGGAACACATGAAAACTGGTTTCCTGCTTCTTCCAGATATGAAGAAAATTTGAATTCTCAGCTGTATTTGGTATTTTCTTTAGGCACCAGAGGGGGGTTTTAAATTACTGCGTTCTGCTGCCAGCTCTGAAGAGGCAACTGACCCTGAATTAATGTGATTGCATGCAGGGGCTGAACAGGTGGAACAAGAGACTATTTTGCCCACATGTTTGAGAGCAACACTTGCCATCATTGTATAGAAGAGATACAGTACCGGGCAGAATATCTTGTTCTTCATCTTGACTTCAGCAATGCTGCACATGCCACTTTTGTAAAACTCAGATTCTGAGTATTTCAGGAAATTTCTTCCTAGGATGCTTTATCAAGCACTTAACTTGCTTCTGTCATCTCAGCAATTGACTCAAAATCCACCACCCCCTCAGGATATTGCATTAATAACAGCACTGCTAATTATAATTGCAAATTTTCAGACAACAAATTGATTTTTGGCGTAGGCTTTCTGCAGAAAGCAAGTTTTTTTGTGTGTGAAAAGCAGACTTCTCTTTCTGTGGGATGCTGCTTGCCTCCTGTGAGGTGCTGAGTTCTGTCACTTCCCATTATGTTCAGTGGGGCTTTATGAGCCCAGAGCTTGCTGGAGGTGGCAGCACCCTGTGTGAGCCACCCCTCAGTCCAAGCTGGTGACATTTTGCCTTTGGCCAAGCCATCACTGATCATTATGGACCTTGTGCTTTCCAAGAAGAGCAGAACACAGAACCAGGAGAACTAACCTGCAGTCAGACAGTGATATAGAAATTACAGAGAAAAGACTCTGTACTGGAAGGAGAATGTGCCTTTCCTCAGATGAATAGAGAATGTATGCTTACATATATGTGGTAACCTGAAAGGAGGGAATAAAATTCCTAACCACTTGCATATCTAGACTAAATATGTGTGCAGGTTCAAATACTTCTACTTCTTTCAGTAGTAAACTAATAGCAGTTCAACTATTCAGATGATATTTAATTTCTCAGAAAAAAATCACGTGCGGATAAATATATCTAAGTGGGAAGAACTGACTTGAGAAGCCTTGCAGAGCATCCTGGTGTGATGATTTCCAGGGCCTCCCTGGGCATTCAACAACTTTGCAAATGTATCTTCTTGTGTAAGTGCCCAGGTAACACAAGGCAATGTCACACAAGTGTTTCTCTTTAATTCCACTGCGCTTGGCTGGTTGAATCTTGTCAGTGGAGGGAAGGGATGAGATGAAGGAAGCAGCCTGAGGAACTGTGTATAAATCTCAGTTGCTGAGGAGGATGCTAGAGGATACTCTACAGAGCACAAATTCGGAGTGGGAAGCACCGACCCAGAAAGATAAATTTCCAAAGCCTTGCAATTGGAGGAAAAATGAATTCAAAAAATGGACCAAATTGGCATCCCAAGGCCGCGGAATTGTAAATTTTGAACGAGATAAAATTAGTAACCATTGGCTCCAATACTACAGACGCATACCTCACAGGAAACTCCTCACTGCACTACAACTCAGGGCCAACGTTTACCCCACAAGAGAATTTCTAGCCGGGGGTAGACAAGATCAATACATCAAGGCGTGTCGGCACTGCGATGCGGACATTGAATCCTGCGCCCACATCATCGGCAACTGCCCAGTGACACAGGACGCCCGAATCAAGAGGCACAATTACATCTGCGAACTGCTTCTCGAGGAGGCGAAAAAGAAGGACTGGGTAGTGTTCAAGGAACCGCACATAAGGGACTCCAACAAGGAACTGTACAAACCTGACCTGATATTTGTGAAAGATGCCTGTGCACTTGTTGTGGATGTGACAATACGATACGAAGCAGCCAAATCATCGCTGGAGGAAGCCGCTGCAGAGAAAGTGAACAAGTACAAACACCTGGAAACTGAAGTAAGAAATCTCACCAATGCAAAGGACGTTGTTTTTGTGGGCTTTCCCCTAGGAGCGTGGGGGAAATGGCACCAAGGTAACTTTGAACTTTTGACTGAGCTTGGCCTCTCCAAATCGAGGCAAGTGAAAATTGCAGAGACTTTTTCCATAGCTGCGCTCTTTTCATCTGTGGACATTGTACATATGTTTGCCAGTAGGGCCAGAAAGTTATGTAATTCAGGTTAGATGCTTAGTTTATGTACTTCTTGTTTTGTTTTGGACTTTGATATTTTTGTTATTTTTGTATGATTGCATAGTGCTCTTTTTTATACTGTTTTGTTTTAATAAAGTAGACGACAGCTAGGGATGTAGGGCAGCCACAAGCAGTTAGGTAGCTGATAGTGAGTAGGGACAGAATTTTATTATTTCATAACGCGTCAATTAACATCTGATTTGGACCAATTCACCGGACTTGTCCAAGGTAGACGGGCCACCTTTACTTAACCTGGAAAAGGAACATATATAATTTATGTGTGTTTGTAAAATAGCAGGGAAGTGTCAGAGAGCAGCACTTGCTGGTGCTGTGTTTAGACTGACCGTAGTTTGGGTTGGCACCAGGCCAGGCGGCTGGCTTCCAGGCTTTCCCAGCGTGAGGAAACCACACATGTTGGGACTACAAGGGTCTGAAGTGTGTCCTTTGTGCTCCTCTGGAGTACGAGTTGTCTGGAAAAAATAATCTGCTTACACACAGCCACTAAAACAAGTAGAAATTGATTGGAATATTACGTTCTGCCTATAAATGATGTGTTTATTAATGACTTGGAGGAAAGAGTGTGGCAAGCTGAGGGGGCAAGAGAAGTATAACAACTTTGAGACTAGAATGCAAGATTGTTCTTAGTTTAGGGTTTCCTTTCTTTAAAACAAAGCTGAATATTAACTTTCAAATCCTCTGTGCTGGGTAGATTCATCTTATTTCAATAAAGCTCTCAATTTTAGATATTTGTTTTGTTAGGAGCTACTGATACCTTCAAAAGCCAAATCAGAATCCCCAATAATTTATTCTCATATGAGGATATAATTACTTGGCAAGATTATATTTTAGAGTCTGAAGCTCTCTATTAAGACATTTCTGGAATAGTATTCAAAGAAGCATCCAAAGCATTGCATCCTGCTCTCTTCTCTAATGTATACATATGTATAATTTAATAACTTCCTTTTAAAAACCTGTTTATTTACCTAAATTAGTTAATTTGACTTACATAGATTAAGTTACGGCTTTATTTCCTGGCGTATTTTTCCTTATGAAATAAATCAATAGTTCTGGTGGAGTCCAAATTTCTTAAATCATTATAGTTGTTATTCAATATATTGTGTAACAGGTTGAAAACTTCCTTAGCTGGCAGCTTGAAAAAAAATCTGTCCGGTTTCCAGTGCTTGCAAACCTCATTATAAAGCAACGATAAGTACCACAGTGTAATAAGCAATTCTTCCAGAATGACAGGCGAATGCAGAAAGCTAAAGTGATTTCTGTAGCAGGGATATATTTTCTCTGAAGTTTTCCTGTACAGCAGCCTTTAGTTTCTGTTGCTGGAGCAGCATTATCAAGTGCCACAGTCTTTTTTTGAAAGATCCTCACATGCCTGACAAATTCTGCAAGCTGTTTGCAAACTGGAAGAATTGTGATTTCTTCCTATGAGTGAAATAAAGATGGTCAGTGAAAGAAAGCAGTTCTACTGAAGGCCTCTGTGCCATTACCACCTGAAGTGCTGTGTAAAACAAAAGTATGCTTAATAGCATGAGAAGCTAGAAAGCTGGAGAAGAAATTCTGTAGGAACACCAGGCTCTGGGATCCTGCTGGAACCATTACTTTCGTACATCGAATTTTCTTGCAAGTTTGCTTAAAGCCTTTTCTATTTCAGTCCTTAAGCTAAATAAATAGGAAATACAAAATGTTGTCAGCTGGGTAAACAGTGGGTAAATAGCTGCAAAGCAGTGGTGCCCCTTTCTATGGCTGTGCTAACAGTACACGCAGGGTTACATGTCAGAGCGATTATCACGGTGTGATCCGCAGCGCAACCCGCCCAGCTCCGTGGGAATAGGAATGCTATCAAGGCCTGACAAGCTTTTGAAAAGCTGCCAACCTGCAGGAGCTGTCAGTGCTAGAAGACACAGCCCCATGTGGGCCAAATAGATAAACATGTCAGATCCCCAATAGCAGCTTTGGAACAAGTTGTTTTCATCTGTCCCAGTGTGCACTGGCTCTGGGTCACAAATTATCATCCCTTGGAGCATCCTTGGTTTGTAGTTGCTACTGTTTTTCTGGCATGTACAGCCAGCTTGTGACATCCTTGAATGCCCTCTTGTATTGACTATTAACTGTATTTCACAGGGAAAAATATACATATGCATAAATATATATTTATTTGCTGGGTAAATGCTCATGAAATAGCTGCGTGAATTTTTTCTATAACTCCACTGCTTGCCAGCAGTTCAAGTGGGCTTGTATTTCTGCACTATTTACAGTGTGACCCACCCATCTCTGCAGGAAGGGGAACATGTATGCAAATACATATCCATATTTATGTAAAACAGCACCCTTGAGGTGCAGGAGCAGAATTTTACATTCATTGCTCTGAGAAACTTTCTGTCAGTCTTTATAAGCGTGGTCTCATTTAGGAATGAACCCAGTGGGAATTTAGCCAGTACTGAAAGGAAACTTTGGTTCTTGCCATCAGGCCTGAGCCTCAGGAACACATACAGAGTCTGAGGTGTTTATTGCAGCCTTGAAACACAGTAATACCAAGTTGATTCTTCTTAAAAAAATATGTGCTGCTTATTCTATAGCTCAGAGGAGGTTAGCTTCCTGCCTGTTAGCAAAACTGCAGTCTGAGAGTGAAGCTTTCTTGACCTGTCAGAAGAAAAAGTTTTCCGGGAAACATAATTGAAGGCCAAAGAGTCATGTGGAAACCACTGGAGATATTTAAATTTATGAAAGTGGGGCATTAGGATAACCTAGGATAAACCTAGTGAAACTTCAGGTTAGGGACTTCCAGAGGTACAGGTGATATCTTTGTGCTTGCTAGCCCTTGGAGGGGAGCTGTTTACTCTATAAAGTTGTTTGACAGACTTAAATTCAGGCACCTGTGTAGACAAAGTGAAAGCTTTTGAAATGTGTTTACAGACACAAAAGAATAGATAGAGCAAGACATGAAGAAAGCGGTATGAATCCAGAATGACAACAGTCCTAGGTGGAAGAGTGTGTCTCTGTTATTTCCTTTTGCATTGCTGCCATAAATTATGTTCCCATAAACATCCGCTGTCATTTTTGTATTTTACCCATGTGTGTAGTTATAAAGAATGGCCAGTATCCTGATCTCTGAAAACATTTCCTTATATTGGTCTTTGGCTTTTTCAAAGGTAGGATTTTTTTTTTAGTCTGAAGTGCTAAACATGTCAGGAGCAATGCCATTTACCCTAAAAATCCTGGTGTATAGTTTTAGGAGAAACAGACAATAGTCAGAAGTCTGCTGTGGTCACAATGTGGAAAATGAAGTATAGAAGCACTGAAGCCTTTGAAGAATTAACCCAGTGTGAATCAAATCAGCATCTAGTCTATTTTCTTTAAGCTTTCACATGTGCTTATAACATACACATGAAAATGCACTTTTCAGAAAACCCCTGAGGCTGGAAGCATTGGCTGCTACTGAAGTTCTGTTGGAGACCACAGTTTAAGAGGAGAACTGGGGCATGTGGAGATGTTGCTTTGTCACAGACATGCAATATTAAAGCCCATTTGGTTCTAATATCAGGTTTCATTCTAACAGCCACCTGCCAAATTTAAGCTACCAAAATCTTGTGAATGTGTCTTCCAAATACACAACTTTTATTTTCCTCTGACTTCCAGTGCATTTTACTCAGTTTGACAGCTCCATGAAAATAAAGAATGCCGCGCACTGACACTGGCATTCTTGCTGTGTTGTAAATCACTTCGAAACAAGTCTCATATTCTCTCTTTCCCCCATCCTCTTACATCAGATTATATGTATCAGAGATCCGATTTTCTGTTACTCTGAAATAATTGGAGATGGAAATTCTGGTTAATTTACTTCATGGATGTGTGTTGCAGGTATGGGAAATAGTACTATAGGTAAAGGTCTGTGGCAGATGTAAAAAATATTAAGGATACATTCTTGGCTGTTAAGGATCCCTTAAGTATTTCAGGGAGTTAGCTAAGCCTTGATGAAACTGCTATAAAGAAAGGTAGATGGAAAAACTCTAAGGACAGCCCAGTTAGTTTTCAAATACAGGGAGAAATATAGATGAGAAACTTACATGTATCAGATTCCTTTGTTTGCTGATGACTTTAAAATACTGAATTCCAGAGTACAGCAATTACAGTGGGAGTCAGTTACAAGACCTGCTTGGGGTAAAATTCCTATTAGGATTTGTGTGTGAGAACAATCTGTCCTGTTCCCCAACCAGTGGACTTCCATACTTCTCACATTAATGCAGCAGATGTGAGATATTTAGAGAATAACTGGTATATGACTATGGTATGCTAAAATCAGGTTATTTTCTCATTAATTAGTGCAGTTGGTTAGAGCATGGTGCTAATAATGTCAAGGTCACAGAGTCAGTCCCTGTACAGGCCATTCATTTGAGAGTTGAATTCAATGATCCCTGTAGGTCCCTTCCAACTACAAATATTCTGTGATTCTGTGATTCTGTGATAATTTTAACATTCTTTATTTTCCACTAAATAAACACAGAATGCATTAAGTTCTTTCCCGCGTTTTCTGGGAAATTCAGTAAATTTTTAGTGCTTGCAGTAACTTTCAGTGAAGTGGCCTGGGGTCAGTGTACAGCAGTGACAAATGTCCTAGTTCTCAGGATGCAATCCATGAACACCCACTCTTGTTTCATTGGGGCATGACATTTGTGATACTGTCTTATGCAGCAGGGGGACATTCTTATTGGATCGCTGCTGTACATTTTCTCAGTGCTCCTTGATCTTCTGTTTTTCTTTGCCTTTGTTTTTTGAGCTATGAATTACAAATTTCTTCAGAAAATCAAGAAAATAAATTTTTAAAAAGTCAC